GAGCAGTGGGGAGTTGAGTAAGAGCGAGGAAATGGGCGGCTTTAGAAAAACGGTCGACGATGGTGAGAATGACAGTATTGCCCTGGGAAGGAGGCAGGCCGGTGACAAAATCTAGGGCTATATGAGACCAGGGCCGACTAGGCGTGGTCAGCGGCCGAAGAAGACTCGCAGGGGATTGATGGAGGGGTTTGGACTGCGCACAGGGAGCACAGGTGACTATGTACTCCCAGGTGTCTTTTTCTAGGGTGGGCCACTACAAGTAATGTTTCAAGAGGGAAATGGTGCGCTGTACCCCTGGATGGCATGCTAGCTGTGAGGCATGGGCCCAGTCAAAGGTCTGAGCCCTAGCAGCCAAGGGGACGTTGGCACCAGATTATCTGGTCTTGTGTTTTTTATTTTACTAAATAATTTATATAAATCACATCAAAATATTATTAGGGGAGAAGATACCCCTGGGGAAATTTTGCCTCAAGTGTGAGAGTCAGCCTTGTGACAGGCCGGTTGTTCGTCTGCGCGTGAGAGTCAGCCCTGTGATGGGCCGGTTGTTTGTCTGCGCGTGAGAGTCAGCCCTGTGAGGGGCCGGTTGTTCGTCTGCGCGTGAGAGTCAGCCCTGTGACAGGCCGGTTGTTCGTCAGCGCGTCAGAGTGAGCCCTGTGACGGGCCGGGTGTTTGGCTGCGCGTGAGAGTCAGCCCTGCGCCGAGCCGGTTGTTCATCAGCGCGTGAGAGTCAGCCCTGTGAGAGTCAGCCTTGTGACGGGCCGGTTATTCGTCTGCGTGTGAGAGTCAGCTCTGTGACGGGCCGGTTGTTTGTCTGCGCGTGAGGGTGAGCCCTGTGATGGGCCGGTTGTTAGTCTGCGCGTGAGAGTCAACACTGAGACGAGCCGGTTGTTTGTCAGCGCGTGAGAGTCAGCCCTGTGAGAGTCAGCCCTGTGACGGGCCAGTTGTTCGTCTGCGCGTGAGAGTCAGCCCTGTGAGAGTCAGCCCTGTGAGAGTCACTTGGGAGGGTGGCCGGTTGTTCGTCTGCGCGTGAGAGTCAGCACCGAGACGAGCCGGTTGTTTCGTCAGCGCGTCAGAGTCAGCCCTGTGAGAGTCAGCCCTGTGAGAGTCAGCCCTGTGACGGGCCAGTTGTTTGTCTGCGCGTGAGAGTGAGCCCTGTGATGGGCCGGTTGTTCGTCTGCGCGTGAGAGTCAGCACTGTGACGAGCCGGTTGTTCATCAGCACGTGAGAGTGAGCCCTGTGACGGGCCGGTTGTTTGTCTGCACGTGAGAGTCAGCCCTGTGACGAGCCGTTTGTTTTGTCAGCGCGTCAGCGTCAGCCCTGTGAGAGTCAGCCTTGTGACGGGCCGGTTGTTCGTCAGCGTGTGAGGGTCAG